ACCGATCGCGGGCATCTCCTTCCCCCGGCATCTTCTCCTCTCCCATTGCAATTTTTAGCAGCTTGTAGCGCTTGAAGGCGCTCCGCATCCGCCCGCTCCATTCCTCATAGTTGGAGCCATCCAAAGCTTCAATCTTGGATGGTGGCGGCTCACTCCTCTTCTCAGCTGCATCTCCACTCCCTTGATTCATCTCCTCTGCTCCCAATCAGAGGTTTCAGCTCCCCCTTTTGCTGGTCACAATGTAGATCCACACAATCTTCACAAGTGTCGGCGCCAACGAACTTTCGGCAGAGTTTCCCCTTAGCGGAAGTCACATCCAACCTCCAGAACTCCACTTAGGCACGCCCACAGGCCATGGTGGGTCTAGGAGGGTCTTCACACTTCAGTAGACTCTCCACAAAGTCCTTAATCAGCTCTGATACCACTTGTTAGAGACTAAGGACGGAGTCTATGAAGATTAGGTGCCTAAATTTCTCAAAATCGTTGGTCCCTATTTCTGGACAGAATAGTTGCGCTCACAAGAAACGCCGTCGACGAAAAGTGCACAGTCAAAACTTCACTAAACTCATATATGTTGTAGCCCTACTCCGTGGCTACAATTCCCAAGTTAAAACGTATCAAGAGGTGAAGTAAATCTCGACTTATCAATTTCGGCGCACAGGGGGGTATGCTGCCATAAGAATCTTAACTCAATCACAAAGTTCACACAAGTGAATTGGAGTAGCACTAAACCAGGTGGAAGGGATTAGGAGGACGAGAGGGAAGGTCCCAAGAGAGTCCCCAACCAAGGAAACCCCATGCCATACAATTCCCTTCCCCATAGGCAACCCAACTTTGACCTTTGTCACTATCCCAACCTCCACAATCCACCTCAACCCAACTTGGCCACACTTGCCAACCTGGTTTGGTTTCTCCCAACCATTTGGCAGCAACTACAGTAGAAAAGACGAATTTCCCAACCCCCAAAAGTCTGTACCCCATATTGAGTCAACCCCACAACTTCCCATAGTCACCACAACCAAATATCAAAAGCATACGAACTCCAACGTTCGTAACTTTCTTGTTTGTGCTCCGATTGAAGCGATACTTGGTTCCTCGGAAAGCTCTTGAGCAGAGGAGTCACTTCAGATATCTGCTCAAGCCAAATAACATTCACACACACACTCAGAAAAACCAAACCGCACAAAACACAAATTCTTGTGCACACTCACAACACGCATGCAACGCACGAACATATGATGGGAGGCAGACAGACGTGAATGCGAATGGTAGCATCACTCAACACCGACCCTACCCGTCATCAACATCAAAGGGCTAGACTTGATTCTTGGGAGAGATTTTCTGAAGAAGTTCAACCCCGAGATCAACTGGGTCACCCGCACGGCGAGTATTTACAATCAAGACAGAAGAGTTCCTCTTCCGAATTGGAGCAACACGGGAGATATTCCGGAGGAGACTCTCGCACTCTTCGAGAAGGACGTGAAGCGAACCATGGCAGGGTTTGTTGCACTGGTTACCAACGAGGACGAAGGAGAGAGAAAAACGCTCGAGCTTCCACCAGCAATCCAGAAACTTCTAGAAGAGTTCGAAGACGTTCTCCCTGACGAACTTCCAGACCAGTTGCCGCCATACCGAACCCACCAGCACGAGATCATCGAAGAACCTGGTTCAAAACCGACCTTCCGAGCACCATATCGACTCAGCTCTACCGAGTTGGCCGACATGAAGAAGCAGATCGAGTACCTTCTGGACAAAGGACTCATTCGACCATCAACATCACCATACGGTGCACCAGTGCTTTTCACACCAAAACCTGACGGAAGCTTACGCATGTGCATCGACTACCGAGCCCTCAACAAGCAGACGATCAAGAACAAGTATCCGATTCCACGGATCGACGATCTACTTGACCAACTTCGTGGAGCCACAGTATTCTCAAAACTCGATTTGAGATCGGGATATTGGCAGATCCGGATGGCGGATAACTCCATCCATAAGACAGCGTTTCGGACACGATACGGATCCTACGAGTACCTCATCATGCCGTTCGGACTCACCAACGCACCCGCTACATTCCAGGCCGAAATGAACCATATTCTTAGGCCTCTACTCGACGAATGCGTGGTGGTGTACCTGGACGACATCCTGATCTACTCGAGGGACATGAAGCAGCACATCGAACACCTACGACGCGTCTTCGAGATACTTCGACGGGAGAAGTTCTACGTCAAGCTATCCAAGAGCGAGTTTGCCTTGAAGAAAGTTCAGTTCCTTGGACACATGGTGAGCGCTCAAGGAGTCCACGTCGACCCAAAGAAGATCAAAGTCGTACGTACGTGGAAGACACCGGAGAACGTGAAGGAACTTCAGCAATTCCTTGGCTTTGCGAACTACTATGATCGGTTCGTGCCATAGTATACGAAGATTGCAACTGTGAGAATAATGAGGAATGAATGATGGAACTAGAAAGCAGATGGGTACAAATAGGAAACACAAAAGTGTTGTACCCTCTAAGAACTACCCCACTACAGCCTAAACAGACTATAGCATATATAAGTTTGACACCCCCCCATAGGCAAAGTGGGGGAGAACAAGAGGTCACAAGACCAGTCAAGAAAGGCAAAGCAAGCTCAGGGTGGATCACAAAGTCACCACGCAGTCTGAGCACAAGCAAATGGCCACAAGGCCAGTTCACATGCAGAGTTATATAAAGGAGAACAAACAATACAGTGAACACAACCTAGCAAGTGTAAGCATGCAGGTATATGTATAAAGAGTACAGTACAGGCAGAGTCAAGAAGAAAGCAAGTGAGGCACAGTAGGTACAAGGCCTAACACAGTACAGAAACGCTGATGATCACAAGGCTGAAGTGCCTTGGTGAAAACATCAGCAGTGTTGGCCTGAGAGGCCACGTAAGCAAGACGAAGCTGGCCACGCTGCTGCAACTCTCGAGCAAGGAAGTAGCGCAGAGCAATGTGCTTCGTTCTGTGCTCCAGTCTGTGCTCCTGACACAAGGCCAGCATGGCCTTGTTGTTGACGTACAGAACTGGAGGAGAACGAGGCGCCTCTCCCAAGTCGGTCAGCAGGTAGGTGAGCCAGCGTAGCTCCTGTGCAGCCATGGCCCTAGCGTAGATCTCAGCCTCACAACTGGAGCTGAGAACAGAAGAAGAGCGGGTAGACCGCCAAGAGACAGAACCGGAGCCAAGACTGAAGGTGTAACCCTGTGACGACCGCTGCGTAGCTAAGTCGTCAACCCAGGAGGCGTCAGCGTGACCAGTGAGGACAACTCGAGCCCGTCCTCCAAGCACGAGCCCCATGCCCGATGTACTGCACAAGTATCGCAACACCCTCTTCGCAGCATCCCAGTGCACCTTTTGGTGCCTGCCGGGAGCCACGTAGTGAGCCAGAAGGCTGAGAGGGTATGCGAGGTCAGGTCGTGTGCAAGTCATCAGGTACATGAGGCAGCCCACAAGCTCTGGATACAGGCCACTCGGCTCTACGGACTCGTCCGAAGGTGGAGCTGAGAATGAGTGACCTGTAGGCAGAGGAGTGGACTGTGGCGAGGAGTACGTGAAGCCGAAGCGCTGAAGGACCTGCTGCACCATGTGTGACTGAGTCAAGGTAATGGTGCGCTGTGCTCTGTCCCGGATGATCCGCAAGCCAAGATAGCTTGTCAGCTCACCCAGGTCTGTGCACGCGTGTCTCTTCTGCAGCTCAGACTTCACGTGGGCGAGTGCCTTAGTGTCAGCAGTAGCAAAGACGAGGTCGTCTACGTACACGAGAACGTAGAACAGCGGCAGAGTAGTGTCAGTGCATAAAAACAGAGAAGGGTCAGAAGTGGAAGGAGCAAAACCAAGAGCAGCAAGAGTCGTCCTGAGTGTGTCGTGCCACTCACGGGGTGCCTGACGGAGACCGTAGACTGGCCGCCAGAGGCTCCACTGGGTACCAGCTGGAAACGACCCAATGAAGCCAGGTGGGCGGCGCAGCCAGATCTCCTCGTGCAGGCTGCCCTGTAGGAAGGCTGTGCTGAAGTCAAGCGAGTGGAGCTCATAGTCACGCTGAGCAGCTACGTGCAGCAGTACCCGAAGAGTGGTCATCTTCGGGGTAGGGGAGAAGGTATGGAAGAAGTCAACTCCCTGTCGCTGACTGAAGCCACGTGCAACGTAACGCGCCTTGAAGGCAGGCGGAGAACCCGGCGGCCGCTTCACCCTGAAGATCCACATGCCACTGTCGATGTTCGCCCCAGGCGGGGGAACCTCGTCGACGTAGGTGCCTGTGGACTTCCAGGAAGCCATCTCGGCGTCCATGGCTGCCTGCCACTGAGAGGAGTAGGGACCCTCTATCGCCTCTGCGTAAGAGCGCTGGGTCGAGATGTCTGGTGCATCCGGGTCTCCCTCAGGGGCAATCAGCATGGACACGAGATGAGGTACAGAAGCGGCAAAGCACTCAAACTCCTCCTGTCTGTCCTCAAGAACGTCCGTGCCAAGAGCAGACTCACCCCCGACGGACGGAGGACAGGCAGACGCAGACGCAGACTCAGCAACAAGACTAGTGGCGTAGTCTAGGCGACAGGCTGCAGCAAAGTCAACAAGCTCAGTAACAAGAGCAGACGCAGCAGTGGACTCAAACAAAGGGTCAGTGACAGCAGTGGCCAGAAAACGCGTGACAGCTGGACTAGCAGCATGGAGGGAGTCAGACGCAGGGTCCGGACCGTCAGGAAGAGAGGACGCAGGAGGAGACGGCAGAAGGACACGCTGTGGAGCAGTGGAAGGACGCAGAGTCATAGAGTGAGTACCAGGGACAGGAGGAGGACGCTGACGCAAAACACGACCAGCGTGAACAGAACGGAGAGGCAACGCAGAACGAGACTCAGGCGACACAGGACGCGACTCAGGCTCACGACGCTCCGTAAGACCTCTAGTCGGTCCAGAGTAAGGAGAAGGACGAGGCAGTGGAGAGGCCGGCTGTAACTGCGACTGGGACGGGACAGGTGGTGGACTCAGGGAAGGAGGAGGAGGACCAGGAGAAGGCGGGGAGCCAAGAACCTGCTGAAGGAGCGGAACGTAGTACGGCCGCGGCCGCGCAGCGCCTCCAGAAACAGGACAGGACCAGTACCCTCAGCCCCAGGGTCTCCAGTCCGAGCAGCACCTCCAGCAGCTCCAGCACCAGCAGCACCTCCAGCAGCTCCAGCAGCTCCAGCACCAGCAGCACCTCCAGTACCAGCAGCACCGCCAGCAGCTCTAGCAGTACCTCCAGCAGGTCCAGCAGCTCCAGCACCAGCAGCACCTCCAGTAGCTCCAGCACCAACTGCACCTCCAGCAGCTCCAGCACCAGCAGCACCTCCAGCACCAGCAGCACCTCCAGCACCAGCATCACCACCAGAAGCTCCAGCAGCACCCCCGGCACTAGCAGCACCTCCAGCAGCTCCAGCAGCAGCAACACCAGCACCCGCAACACCTCCAGCAGCTCCAGCAGCACCTCCAGCAGCTCCAGCAGTACCAGCACCAGCAGCACCTCGACAGCGCCGAGAGTACCACTCACGAAGCTGCTGTGGAGAGAGAGGCTCCCGCCGCGACGGGACACCTAGAGCACCTCCAGACTCAGCACGTGCAGGCTCAGCACCTCCAGACACAGTACCCTCAGGCTCCACACGCCCAGGCTCAGCACCCCCAGACTCAGCACCCCCAGACTCAGTACCCCTAGGCTCCACACGCTTAGGCTCAGCACCCCCAGTCCCCGCACCCGCAGGCTCAGCACCCCTAGCAGCACCTGAGTCGACAGCTACCTCGACCGGCTTGGCAGGGTCTACCTGGGACACACCTGAGGGGGCAGGACCCTGGGGGGGGAGGGGGTCTACCGGGGGAGTACGTGGTGCTAGGAAGAGCAGCGGGGGGGGGAGAGAGGCAGTGCGGTAGGGAAAGAGACGGTAGTACGACACCGACTCGTCAAACGTGACGTCCTGAGAGGACAGAACACGACGCGAGGTGGGGTGGTAGAACTGCCACCCGAGTGCGTCAGGAGGGAAACCATGGAAGACACAGGGAACGGCACAAGAGGACAGCTTGTCAGCTGAAGTATCGCGGACAAAAGCTCGAGATCCCCAGACACGGAACGTGGACGCATCGCCAACCTTCCCCGTCCACCGCAGAGTAGGTGTGGTCTCCGGCAAGGAGACACGAGGCTGAAGGTTGATCTGATGCGCAGCGTACTGAACCGCGAACGGCCACAGAAAATGGGGAGCAGCCGCATGGATCATGGACGTACGAGCGACGTCCATGACCATGCCAATGCGGCGCTCAGCAATCCCATTTTGCTGCGGGGAGGCCGGAAGCGTAAACGTCTGGCGGATGCCCTCCGAACGACAAAAGGCCCTCAGGAGGTCGGAGGAAAACTCCCCACCTCTGTCTGAGTGCCGACGCAGAACAGGAAGGTCTGAACCGAAACTCTCACTGAGCTGGCGATGAGCACCGCGGATCCAGTCGATCAACACCTCAGGGACCTCACCCTTGCTGCGCAAGGGGAGGACTGTGGTGTAACGCGAGTAGTCGTCAACGACCAGCAGGAAGTAACGCTCGTGACCCTGTCCACGGACGCGAGCTGGGCCCCACACGTCCATGTGAAGAGTCTGCAGACGAGCCTCAGTCGGAGAGAACGAGGAGGAGTGAGGAGCGGCGCGCTTCCTGCCCTCGACACAAGGAACACAGGTGGGGGCAGGCCCCGGAGGAAGGGGAGGGAGGGACCGGGGTAGACCCGAGACAAGGGCACGGGAGGCCATACCTCGAAGACGAGGCAGGGAGGGGTGACCAAGGCGGTGGTGCCAAAGGAGAGTCTCGTGCGACAGAGGACGACACGAGCAGGGGGCAGACGCAGGACTAGACCTGGACGCGGCAGCAAACACCTGACTAGACGCAACTACCTGACCAGACGCAGAGACCGGAGGAGGCGCAGTAGTCAGTGTGTACAGACTCGACCTTGGCCGACGGGTGAACGTGGCCAGGTGGCGGCCCGTCCGAGAGCAAGTGCAGTGGGTCACACGCTGACCTCCAGGGGTGAACTGGTCAACCCACGCGTCCTGGAGGTCAGCTCCACTCACCAAGTTCGTAGAGAACGAGGGAAGGTGGAGTCCCGACAGCAAGCCCGACGGGGCCGCAGGACACGGTAGAACCGTGGAGGAGTGTGCAAGGACTGGGCCCCCTGTGGGGTCAGCAAGGGAGACCGCAACAGGCCGATTGAGCGGCGTGAGTGTGGTGCTGTCTCTAAAGAAAGAGCGCGAAGCACCAGAGTCAAGTGTGAAAGTGTGCAAGGACTCAGTAGGTGCAGTACCAGAGAGAGTAGACGTACCAGCACCTGGAGCAGCAGACGCGCCAGTACCTGGAGCAGCAAACGCACTAGCACCTAGAGCAGCAGCCACAATGCCCGGGTCGGGCGGGACACTCAGGTAACAGTCACCCTCAGCACTATCAGTCACAGCATACATGGCAGCAAGGATAGCATCAAAATCTAGATCAAAGATAGGCACATTCTGCAGAAGCAGATCATGCCAGCGAGGGAGCTCAACGGCTTCAGGAAACTGGGCACGCCAAGCGTCAGTCAAGTGACCGAAGCAGCGCTCCGTAGTGTGTGGGAGCCCACACACCTCCCCACTACGAGTGCCAGTGCGAAGAACGTAAGTGCAGGGACTAGCACCCCCAGACCTCCCACGCCCAGCGTACCACTCACGAAGCTGCTGGACCGACGGGGTGTCACGGGAGGGCAGCTGCTGCTGACGCTGGCTGCCACCAAAGCCTCCACGCTGCGCGGCTGCACCTCGACCAGCACCACCGCCACCGCCACCTCCACCACCACTGCCGCTGCCTCCACCACCTCCGCCACCGCCGCCACTACCTCCACCGCCGCCACTGACGCCCCCACTCCCAGTAACACCCCCACCTCCACCGCCACCTCCTCCGCCTCCTCCACCTCCTCCACTGCTTCCCCCGCCGCCCCCTCCACCACCCTTGCTCCCCTTGCCCCTGATGTTGTGGCGTCTCCCACTAGGGGCAGACGGAGCTCGGACCTCCTCAGTGCCAACGAGGTCGACAGCAGCAGCAGAAGCCACAGAGGGGAGAAGGGGGACAGGGGAACAACCCTCAAAGAAGGGGGTGCGATGGTCGCCGCGAGAAGCACCTACAGCTGAGATACTCTTCTCAGCTGCAGTGAGGCGCTCCTCTAGCAGGTCGACAGTCAGCTCGGTGGGGCAAAGGGATAGAAAGTGGTCCCTGACTGAGGAAAGGGAGTCAGGGAGGCGGGTGACTAGGTAGTAAAGGGTGATGTACATGGGGGGGGGGTTCTTGGCACAGAACTCAGTGGGAAGGGCAGCGCGGTAGCGGGCGTCACTAGTGCGAAGGTGAGCAACTAGGTCAGCAACTGTGGTAAAGACGGCAAGGTCAGGGAAAAGGTACGGCAGCATGAGGCGGCTGAGGGCAGCAGTGGCAGGGGAGGAGTAGCGTGCAACTACAGCGTCGTACAAAGACTGAGCAGTCTTGTACTGGCCAAAATGTGCACGCTCAGCAGGCGGCAGGTGACTACGAATAACAAGACAAGCAACAACGTCACGAGTGGTCCACTGCGAGCGAACCGTACTGTCAGCAGTGGCAGTAGGAGCAGTGGAAACACCGGACGTGTGATCGAAAAGGGATACCCCATCACTAGAATCACACTGAAGAAAGAGCTGTAGGTCGTCAACCCACACGTCAAAGTCAACTGCACGTCCCTCAGCGTCAAAGGTGAGAACGGCAGGACTAGCCATAGCAGTAGTAGGAGCAGTAGCAAGAGTAGCAGCAGTAGAAGCAGAGGCAGTAAGGCAGTGCAAGGCAATGCGGCGCGGTAGGGCAGTGCGTCTCAGTAGGGCAGTGCGGCTCGGTGGGGTGGCGCGGCTCGGCTGGGCGGCGCGGCTCGGCTGGGCGGCGCGGCTCGGCTGGGCGGTGCGGCTCGGCTTACAAGAGACTGGTGCAGGGGCGGGCCGTGAACGCAGGGGCCGCGCCAGTAGGGGGGGGGGGGGGCGCACCAGCAGGGGCCGCGCTAGCAGGGGCCGGGAGGGGCGCGTCAGCAAGGGCCGGTAGGGGCGCGCCAGTAGGGGCGCGTCAGCAGGGGCCGGCAGAGGCGCGTCAGCAGGGGCCGGCAGGGGCGCGCCAGCAGGGGCCGGCAGGGACTCGCCAGCAGGGGCCGATAGGGGCGCGCCAGTAGGGGCGCGTCAGCAGGGGCACGGAAGGGGCGCGCCAGTAGGGGCCGGCAGGGGCTAAGGCAGCTGCTGAAGGGGCCGTGAATGTCCGCAAAAAGGGGGGGGCCGCAAGGGGCCGCGAAGGGCCGCGAAGGGCCGCAAAGGGCCGCGAAGGGGCCGCGAATGGTCGCGAAGGGCTGCGAAGGGCCGCAAGGGGGGCCTCGAAGGGGCCGCAAAGGGGGGCCGTGAGGGGCGCGACGAGGAGCCCTAAGGGCGGGCCGCTAAGGGCAGAGCGCGCGGGGCGCAGCTAAGAACAGTGCTAAGCGCGCTTCGGGCAGGTAAGGAAAGAAAAGTCGTAGTGGTGGGCCCTTAAAAAAAAAATTTGGTCCCAGTAGGGAACCTGCTCTATACCATGTGAGAATAATGAGGAATGAATGATGGAACTAGAAAGCAGATGGGTACAAGTAGGAAACACAAAAGTGTTGTACCCTCTAAGAACTACCCCACTACAGCCTAAACAGACTATAGCATATATAAGTTTGACAGCAACACCTCTCACCAATCTACTGAAGAAGAATACACCGTTCAAGTGGGAGGATGTGCACCAGCAAGCCATGGAGCAGTTGAAGACCGCACTCACGTCCGCACCCGTCCTGATCCTGCCAGATCCAGAAAAAGACTATGTCATCGAAGCTGACGCTAGCGACCATGCAGTTGGAGCAGTCTTGATGCAAGACCAAGGGAAAGGACTACAACCAATCGCTTACCTCAGCAAGAAATTGCACGGGGCAGAACTCAACTACCCGATTCACGACAAAGAGGCCTTTGCGATCATCACCGCATTCAAGACATGGCGATGCTACGTCGAAGGGAGAAAGACCACGGTCTACACTGACCATTGCAGCATGAAGTACCTAAAGACGAAGCCGACCGTCTCCAGAAGACAAGTCAGGTGGATTGACTTCCTCGAGACGCACTTCGACTACGACATCGTGTACAAGCCGGGACACAAGAATAAGGCAGACGCACTGAGCCGGCCTGGACACGTTGCCGCCATACAGATTGAGGGGATGAATCCGCTACTCAAGGGACTCTTCACGCACGGGTATACCATCGACCCCGAGATTCCCTTAGCAGAGAAAAAGAAATTGTTGCAGTGGGACCACGACGTCGCACTACGCAAAGGATCAACAAAGATATGGGTACCCAACTACCCGCCTCTTCGGCAGTTGCTTCTCGAAGAATTCCATGACGTGCTCTACGCAGGACACTTCGGGAATAACAAGACTCTTGCCGGGATTGCAAAAGTCTACTACTGGCCTCACATGGCAAACGACGTGCAAAAGTTTGTCACTTCGTGCGACACGTGCCAGCGGATGAAAAGCAGTAAGCAGAAGAAAGCAGGACTTCTTCAGCCTTTACCCGTCCCGGAACAGCCTTGGCAAGTGGTCAGCTTGGATTTCATCACCGGTTTACCACCTACCAACGCGGGGCATGACGCCATCCTGGTCGTCATCGACAAATTCTCAAAGATGGGACACTTCATTCCGACACATACAACCGCACGCACGGAGGAAACGGCACAGCTATTCCTCAAACACATCATTTCACAGCACGGGATCCCAACAACCCTCATATCCGACAGGGACCCCAAGTTTACTAGCAAGTTCTGGAAAGAGCTCATGTCGCTCATGGGGACACGCCTAGCAATGTCATCTGCATGTCATCCCCAGACCGATGGGCAGACAGAGCGCTTGAACCAAATTGTGGAACAACTCTTGCGCGCAGCGTGCAAGGACGACATTAACAAGTGGGACTTGCACTTGCCGGTGTTGGAGTTCGCCTACAATAATGCGAAGCATGCCGCAACAGGAGAGACCCCATTTTTCCTCTGTTACGGACGACATCCACTAACTCCACAACAGCCGACAGTACCTGCAACTGTCCAACCTGCACACGACTTCGTTACCACAATGCAGCAGCTTTGGGATCGGACACACAAGCGTCTACAGGACATACAGTCTTCACAGAAACGCTTGGCCGATCGCCATCGACGTGATCATACCATTGCGGTTGGTGACCAT